GGTTTACCTGGAGAGCCTCGGGTTTGCAGCAGCTCGCTCAAGGCTCTTGTCCCTGTTAGAAGTCCTTCTGGTTTCCTTCCAGATAGTGTCCTTTGAGCATTCTCTCCTGAAATGCCCTGGCAGGGGTGTGGCCTGTGTATGTTCATGGCTCTTGTCTTTGTCAACTCTGCACAGATATTTTTCTTTCACAGTAGATTAGAAGTATAAATAGAGGATTATGTGCAGTGTGGGTGATTGCTGTGGATGATAAATCAGAGTGAGTGGAACAAGGAGCGCGGCAAGCAGATCTGCCTTCCAGACCAGGTGTCACCTTACTACATCACTGGGGACTTTGGTTTACAGACCTTCACTCTTCTGACATGCAGGTGCTTCTCTGACACAGCTGCTTTACATGATTCCAACGATTCCTTTCCCAAACTGAGTATGTAAGACTACACTAGAGCTGAGAGAACTGGCACCCCTCCCAGGGGAGAAAAGGGCAATCGGAGTGAGCTTAAGTTCTCTTGATAATTTTCTCATTAATTGAGAATTCAGTGAAAACAGATAATGGTGATTCAACCTTCTGGCAATTATAAAATCAATGGAAACCCACTATTATTAGCTAACCTTTTGATCTCAGTTCCAATTCTTCCCCATTGTGTGCCCAGTGCCCGTATGCGACATGCTATATGTGGTGTATTTGAGGAATTACTTTTATTAAAGATTGAAGGGCTTCTTGATTGTTTGCCTCATTAAGGCAGATTAAGTATGTCTCGAACAAATTTGCAGTTGAGGAGGCCTAGGAACAAGTGAGAAAATGCTAGTTGGAAAGAAATTTTGTATTATCCTTCAACCCAGTGTAGGTGGCATGTCTAGATTGGTAAGTGAGTAGATGAGGTTTTAACTGTTTATATTTAAATAAGAGGGAGAGAAGCCATGGTGTATTTAATGTAGTAAAGGAGAAATAAAAGTAGAGAACAAAGATACTAAAATTGCATATATTCAAATTAATACTGGATTTTTTTCATAATATTTTATTGTGCCCTAGATCATGATTGCCCAAAAGGACAAATGAAAGCTGTCATCACTCTTTGCAGAGAAATAACTGTACCCTGCCAATTTTACATACAATTTGAGGGATTTCATGGATGCTGTATTAAGTACATGGGGCCTTGTCGTCCTTTCCTTCTGTTAGTCCTTTGTCCAAGTTCTTGATGGAAAAGAACCTTGGATATTAAGCCATCATGCCTCACAAAATAAAAGTAATGTTTGTGCTTTAAATTTTTTTTTTTTTTTTTATGTGTATGAGTGTTATTCCTGCATGTGTGTGTGCCTGTGTCATGCAGTGCCCAAGAAGGACAGAAGAGGGCGTCAGATCTCCTGGAACTAGAGTTATGGACAGTTGTTAGCTGCCATGTGGGTACTAGGATCCAAACCCAGTTCTTCTGCAAGAACAGCCAGTGCTCTTAACCTCTGAGCCATCTTTACAGCCCCTAAACTAGTGTTTCTTTAAATTGATCGTTAGAACAACCGAATTATCAAGACCAACATTAAAACATGAAAATAAGACAAAATATCAGAATGAGTTTTATCTTTTGAACTCTTCTGATATGTATGCATCTCTGTTACTAGTGTCAAGTCAGACTATCAAGTGCATTTCTAACTGGATTAAGCATAAATTTAGAGAAATGCTGTTCTAAATGAACCTTCTCACTTTTTAGCTGAGGGATCAGAGTCCCCTGAAGACTGATTTCAGACCCTCCCATTTTAGTCAGGTGGCCCCCTAGGAGTGAACTGTTACTGGGTTGCTGGGTTTGACTCTGTGTTGTCAGCTTTGGGATGTAGAATTGTGAAGCAGATTATTTTAAAATGTTGGATGATTTGTCTGCTTTGCACTTGGGATTTTTGAATCCTTTTTTTTTTTTTTTTTCCCACTTAAATCATCTCTGTCATTCTCTAAAAATTTGGATTTGAGCTTCTTTTCCAGAGAATCTGAGGTCCTTTTGTTTGGCTGGCTGCTCACCCAGATCCTAAAATCTTGACATTAATCACAGTGGAAGAATACAGAACAAGATACGGAAGGTTATTTTCTTTGTTCAAACCAAATTAGATTATTTTGAATTATTTAGTTGCTTGAACTGCAGATAATATGGGGCAGCAGATACTGAACCTGGATCTTTGGGAAGGGACCCAGCAGCAGTCTTTAGGTATCTCTGCGGAGCTTTCTCAAACTTGAGTCCATGCAAATTAGGTGAAGATTCTTGTTAAAATGCAGGTTCTGATCCAGAATATGGCTGAGATTCTGAGCTTCCTAAAGACTGCTGAGGCATGCAGATGCCGATACTGGCACTACACTTTTAGCAGTGAAACATACATTACCTGCCTCATCACCAGAGCAGGAAAGGAAGCTGTGCTTACTATCCCCTGTCCTGGTCTTCACAACTGAGCTTGTGAGCCACCCCATCCCCAAGTGATGGAAAATGGTTTCTGCAGCAAACGCTGCTCTCACTGATCCTGACTTAGTTTCACTTCACTTAACTTAAATTTTCGCACTTTTCTACAAAACAGTTTTCCAAATAATGGGAATCTTTAACGTCAGAAAGTATTTTCTAAAATGTTACATAATTTTCTTTTTCAAACTACTACATACACTTTTCCCCTTCAATTAGTGATGTAAGAGCCATAGTTTTGGACTAAGACTATCTTTGTGATGAGTGTGGAGCTATATGTAAAGCATATTGTATATGTACGCCTTGGACATGTTTTCTATTTTATCTTCTTCAGTTGCCAGTTAATAATGTCGACCTCAGATCAGCTGGTTTCCCTTTTCATTTTAACTGAGTAGCTCTGACCTGAAAAGCCAGATACTGGATTTAATAGAAATGTATTTGAAATGTATGTACAGAAGGTCCTGTTGGTGTGAGGACTTTGAAGGAGGAATAGGACGGAGAAGTTCAGTAGCAGTGCAGTAGAGAAGCCCTTTGTTTTTGACTTTATTATGTGTGGGTAGCTCAAGGGGGAGCTTGCTTTCCTAGTGCTTTTTTCTAGTGTTGTACCTGTAGTGTGTATATGTATGTGTGTCTATACTTCTCTCTCTCTCTCTCTCTCTCTCTCTCTCTGTGTGTGTGTATGTGTAGGCCAGAGCTTGATATCAAATGTCTTATATTGCTCTCTACCTTATTTTTTGAGACATTTTCTTCACTGAGCCTGGAGCTCACCAATTGGCTGGACTGGCTGGCCAGAAAGGCCTGCCTTCCCCGTCACTTGGGTTAAAGGCACAGACTTCTGCACGTACTTTTTTTTAATGTAGATGTTGGTGATCTGAACTCAGGTCCCCCCTTCTTACAGGACAAGTACTGTACTCGCTAAGTCATCTCTCCAGCCCTCCTAGATGCGTTTCAGTGGGTTTCTAGAGTTCTAACATTGTGCTTACAGTGTTGTTGAAAGTGAGTCACAAGGGTATAGAGGCATAATGTCTTACTTAGCCTCACAATTGATAATACAATAATTTAAATAAGCAGTACTCAGGTTCCATTAAAATGGGGAATAGGCAACCTTGTGCTGAAGACTGGCTGTCTTCTTGCAGTAACTTTGCAAATGATTTTAATAATAACGATAGCACAGAGGTTCTTCTTTGGATGAGCTTAGTGATTGAGGATGGTGGGGATTTAAAGATTGACTTCTGGTATGTTGTATTATAAGTTATAGTAATAACTAGTTCTTGTATGCTGAGCCCTCACCTTGCTGAATATTTTGCAACAAGCAGGGATGTAGTCCTGAAGGGCACTTTAGATCGAGAGGCAGCAAGTAGCTGCTGTGTTTTAGACAAATGAGGATAACTCAAGTAGATGGGGTGAGAGGAGCCTTTGTCGTTGGCCTGTCTTTACAAACAAGTAAAGGCGTGTAGAAGCTACAGTGGGTGTTTTTGTCATTTTCCTAGAAATCGTTGGGGGATTCACATCTATGAAAACCATATAGATGCTTTATTCAAATCCAAAGCAGAGAGACCTTCTGCATTTTAACTAGATAGCAGCAGACGTTTATCATTTTAAATAGCTTCTGTGTTAGAAATTGTGGATTATTTTATTTGAAATTATAGCAAGATTAAATTTAGCCATAAGAGTTAAGTTGGATTTCAATGTCCTGAACAGGGCCCCATCTGATATATTTTTAGTGAATTATAGCACTTAAACACTGATTATCAGATTTGTCTCATTTGAATGCTATTTTTTGCTTGTAGAATCTGTCTTATGCTTCAGTGCAGCTAAGCATGCTGGTGTAATCTTATTCTAATTAACAGTGCTTTGTGACCTGGGACTCCTGTCAAAGATCATTACAGAGCTGGAACACATTGTAAGGTGTACTAAATGTATGGCCTGAGCAAGTATGTCTTGGATTCAGAGACTAAAAGAAAAGAGCATCCTTCCCCTCTTAAGCTGTACTAAATGTGTTTGGTAGGGTTTCAGTATATTGATGCTTTTATCATTTATACGCTAGAGGATTTTGTTTGAAATAGTTGAATGTAAATGCTGCCGGGAGAAAGATTTCTGCCAGAAAGAATATCTGTTCTATTTATTCATCGTCAATTGGTCTTGCTTATTTTAGTTAAGGAAATGAAAATGATCATGTACTAAAGAGAGATCTGTGTGAATAAACTCCTCCCTTCCTGTTTTCAAATTATTTCATTTGTTGTTTATCTTATTTAAATATACAGTAGAAAAGAAGAAAATGTAACTGCTGTTCCTTTAATATCAGAGCTATGCACGCTACAATAGGTGTCACTGTTTTGCTTGGTCCAATCCTGATTGGTGACTTCAGCTATTGGCTCCCAGCGCTGGCTGTCTGACTCCATCTGCAGGGCTGTAATACCTACTCTCCTCGCTTCCCGATCCATTCACCACACAACTTCAGCCGGCTGAACAGACTCCCTGGGCTCGGCACATCTTGCTAACCTAATTCAGAAAACAAGTGCTGCAGCCCTTGCCTGTCATCTTTGCTCAGCACAGCCTCTTCAGGTGATCCAGAAAACTGTTATTTTATGAGCAAATAAGAAAAACAGGAGTCATGATGGGGATGTATTTAACAGACCCAGTCCTGGATAAAACTTAAAGCCAGTTTCTCTTCAACATAGTGAAAAGGTCACCTTGCCTGGCTGAGAAAAGCAGCAAAATATCAGCTTGTCGGCTGCTGTTAGCATCCTAGCTCTGGCTAGCCTCTTTTCCTTGATGTTCAAGCCAGTTTGGGATATCTAGCTCTAAAGAGAGACATCCTGTACTCATGGTAGATGATAAGGAAAACAACATGAAATGTCTCACCTTCTTCTTGATGCTTCCAGAGACAGTAAAGAACAGGTCCAAGAAAGGCTCAAAGAAAGCAAGTGGCAGCAGCGGTGGCAGCGGCAGCGGCAGCAGTGGCAGCAAGTTGCCCCCAGTTTGTTATGAAATAATTACCTTGAAGACTAAAAAGAAGAAGAAGATGGCTGCTGATATATTCCCCCGTAAGAAACCAGCCAACTCCAGCAGCAGCACTGTCCAGCAGTTCCACCAGCAGAATCTCAGTAACAACAATGTCATCCCAGCCCCCAACTGGCAGGGTCTCTACCCCACTATTAGAGAAAGGTAAGAGCCTGGGAGGCATGTTTCCTTTAAAAGTTTGCCAGAGTTCAAGTTTCTGCTTTTGCACAGGCTGTAATGTATTTTAACACAAATCTCTGTGTTTCCTCTTTTCCCAGAAGCTTTGCTGGTAATGGAAAACTGACTTGTATCATTTCCAAGACAGTACAGCTGTTTTCCTCTTAGATAAAAATATTTTTGCAAGCTGTAACGTTTAAGTGACAGGGTTGTGTCTGTGGAGCATAGCAGATAGAAACCTTTCTTTTGTCCAGGCTGTAATGTATTTTAACACAAATCTCTGTGTTTCCTCTTTTCCCAGAAGCTTTGCTGGTAATGGAAAACTGACTTGTATCATTTCCAAGACAGTACAGCTGTTTTCCTCTTAGATAAAAATATTTTTGCAAGCTGTAACGTTTAAGTGACAGGGTTGTGTCTGTGGAGCATAGCAGATAGAAACCTTTCTTTTGTCCTTAGCCATGTAAAAGTTTGGATAACTTTTTTTTTTTTTTTTTTTTTTTTTTTTTTTTTTTTTTTTTTAATTTTAGTTATTTCATCAGCTTTTCCAGTGATCTCAAACAGTTGTTTAAGTAGACCCTTTATTTGTTGTTTTGCTGTGAAGTTGCTGAACTGTTGCTTAGCTTGTAAACCTTTTCTAAGTTTTGCATGTTGGGGAAGGGGGTGTTTAGATGATGGCTTCTGTGAATTAATGAATTGCCTCTGTTTATAGAAATGCGGTGATGTTCAATAATGATTTGATGGCAGATGTACATTTTGTGGTTGGGCCACCAGGTGGGACTCAGCGGTTGCCAGGACACAAAGTAAGCAACAGCTGTATTACTGGTTTAGTCCCGAGATTTACAAAGAGGGATCCTCTCAGTCAGCATACGCTCGGTGTGGGCAGCTTGCCGATGGCAGGCAGTGCGCATTTCACCCGACTACAGAGAAAGCGGACCCTTCCCAAAGGGCTTTGGCCACGCTTAATTTTTTCTTTGTTTCCTTCTGCAGTCTTTTATATATCACACAAAAACATGTCCTCTTCACTCTCCAGCTGTAGGAAGTTGTTGTAACAGGTTTAGAAACTTCTCTCTTAACTGATCTCTTAGAAATCAGTTAGATAAGCTTTTATTTATTTTACAATGGGGGATCTGTGCATTAATCTCAAAGCTTTGAGATATTACTGTAGAGACTGTTTTGTATGAAAGTCCTTAGCTTCCCTGTCAACATATACTGTACCCTGGCTGTTTCAAAGAAGCAGGGTTAGATCTTTTACATCCACTAACCCTGACTGGTAGGAGTCGCTTTTCTGAATTGACTTGCTGAAAATACTTTCAATTTAGTTCGTGAAATAAGATTTTCCTTTCTCCACAGTATGTCTTAGCTGTCGGGAGCTCTGTGTTCCATGCAATGTTTTATGGAGAACTTGCTGAGGACAAAGATGAAATCCGAATACCAGATGTTGAACCTGCTGCTTTTCTCGCCATGCTGAAGTAAGCATTATTTGTATGTTTGCAAAGAGTTTGTTTACACTGTATATGTAGTCTGCTGGCCTCAAAGTTAAGTGTAAGTTCTTAGTGAAAGAAAAGATTCTGAAGAAAGAGGGTGCTGCTTACCTTGTAAATGTTCCCAGAGGAAGCTGTTCTTCATCTTCCAGTGGAAGTCCTATGGAATGGTGTGAGTATTTATAGTCAGACCTGAGCCTAGGGCTGGGGCAAAGACCTATGTAGGGAGTTGGGTTTTAATGACATTTTTATTAATGAAAACTAGCTTTTCTGGTATAGGCATTATTTGGTAGGTATACTTTCCCTCTGAAAGCAGTGTATGTTAAGAAATCTTCAGAGAAATACACCTTTATTCAAACTGGAGAAATTACATATGTCATTTAGCTAGCACCAGTGGAGACAAGAGTAAGTTTCCTGAGTTCTTATCTCCGACCAGCAGAAGTAGGGATTACTTACTATCTATGGAAATGACCCGATCCTTCCAAAGTTGGTCACTCATTCTCCAGGATAGGAGGCATTTGCTCGTGGTGCTGGAGAAGTTTTTGAAGGATATGAGTAGTTTCATGTAGGTTTATGGAGAAAAACTTCAGTTAGTAATACAAAAGTGTAAAAAGTGTAAGTCGTGTTAAATATTTTGCCAAAAGTTTTGTAATCTAAACTAGATTATTTTATGGAATCCAGTATATGTTAATCAGACATCAAAAATCATCTTATTTACCATGTTTCCATGCTAGATAGTGAGACAGCCTGCTATGTGTTTAGTCCAGACTCTGTAAATCGTATTTATAAGATTTTCTTAAACTGTATTTTCAGCACACTAACATAAATTTTAAGGTTTTCTGCTGCTCTGAGAAGTTCAGTTCACTGAAATAAATAAAATGTTTTTTAGAAACAAAAATCAGTGGGTCAACAATTGGACAGAATTCTCACAAGTGATAAAATGCATATTATTTACTGCCAACCGAAAAAAGTTCTAGAGCTTTTAAGTGCTTAATTTCTTGTTCCTGTTAGGGCTTTGAAATCTAATTGAACTAGAAGTTTCACAGTGGGAAGCAGGGAATTAAAGGCAAGTGAGCATGAGAAGTGCTCTGACGTAAGCTCCTTTATCACTTTTTAACCCACGTAATCCGTTAGACATTTGCACAGAAACGTCTTTCACCTGCTTGGATCCCTGCCCCTCACCACCGTGCATGCAGTCAGCCTTGTGTGTGTGACAGTGCCGTCTGTTGTTAAGTAGAATGCAGCTCTAGTTAGCATTTGGGCCTCACTGCAGTCAAGTAGACTGTTGTGTCTTAGACACGTGCACAGTCAGGAAGCGTGAGCAAGAGAGACAGAAAGTAACATCTCGCTCGAGTCATTTGATTTATCATTTGCCAAATGTCTTTTCTCATAGTTGTATTGCCTAGAGCACATATTAATACAGGTTTTTAAATTATTCATGTAGTCTGCATAAAGTAGCAAGAATAGAAGTGCATAGCGTTCCATTTGCCTTTGCTGCTGTACCGTAACTGAGATGTGACTGGGTGGGGTTCCTCCCTCCCGCATCATGGGGGAGTAACTGTGGTTTTGGAGCCTTCTCCCTTGAGTTCCAGGGTGAGAACTACAAATCAGGATCATAGTCATGTATGTTTGCCCTGGTCCTAGTCTTTGGTCAAAACATACCTGAGAGGTAGGTTTGCTGTCAAGTGGACTTGCCAGAGGTATCTGGCTTAGCCAATCAGAGAAAAAGCTTTCCTGGGAACAGAGGCCATTCCATTTGTGAGAGTGGACACTTTTTGCCATATATCCTCGAGCTTATCTATTTTCTTGCAAAACATATTCATAATTTCCTAAGTGTTTTACTAACATGTAATAAAATAACTAGAAAAACTTCAGATAAAGTACCTATATGCTTTAGCTAGAAAAATCTTAAATTTTGTCAGTACACTGACAGTGCTCACTGAACATTCCTTGTGTCACCACAGTAATATATGAGAGCAGGCAGTTTCTACCTTTACGTGCTGTTTTAGGAAACTGCCACGTTTCAGTAAACACCAAGAAGTGTTTCATCTTCTAAGATCCACACAGCCCTCTAAAGCACAGAAGCAATGCACATTTAAGTTTTCTGCTTTATCTTTTAAGAAATGCATGTGAAAATAACGCATTCTTTAATTCTGAAAGTATGGGGAATGTGTGGGGAGAAGTAGGCATTTAGAAGTTACAGTTACAAACCCAAGTACCAGTCTGTTGGATTCTGTGTAAAGCTGACTGAAAGATAACACTGAGGTCTGTATTTGACAATTTAATGAATTTTGAACTACTTCAAAAATATTCAGTATCGAGTTTTATTTTGCTTTTAAGAAAAGTCCCAAAATATCAAACCATAGTAATTGGCCTTACAATGTCAAAGACATTTGTTTTTATTTAAATGTGTAGAAATAATTTGTAGTAAAATTGTACATATTATCCTTTAAACATTGGGGGGATGGAGAAGTGGCTCAGCAGTTAAAAAGCACTTGCTATTCTTTCAGAGGACCAGTGTTTGGTGCCCAGAACCTGTCTATGTCAGGGGGCTTACAACCTCTTGTAACTCCAGATCTCGCCCTCCTCTGGCCTCTGGGGGTACCCACACATACATACACATAAATAAATAATTTTTTCTTTAAATTTGGGTTGAGGGTAGGAATTCTTTATAAAATGTCATAGAATTCTGCTGGGTTTTTTTCAATCTGTCTGATGTCCAGGCCTCTTTGAAAGAACTGCAGTATCTCCTGCTTTCTGGAGAATACAGAGTGCGTCTATAAGATAGAGAGCAGAATGCACACAGAGTTAATGCCTTTAGTTATATTAGTGTCCTATGGAGGACGATAGCTCACGACTGTATTTCAGACCTTCTGTAGACATGCTTGTAACTGTCACATTGGAGAACATTCTTGGACAGTTTGAGAGCTGCTTTATTTGCTGTGCACACTATTTTTGTGGACATTCCACTTACATGTTGGATGCTTTCTTTCAGATACATCTATTGTGACGAAATTGACTTGGCTGCTGACACAGTGCTGGCCACGCTGTATGCTGCCAAAAAGTACATAGTCCCTCACCTTGCCAGAGCCTGTGTTAATTTCCTGGAGACCAGCCTGAGTGCCAAGAACGCCTGTGTGCTCCTCTCTCAGAGCTGCCTGTTCGAGGAGCCAGACCTGACCCAACGCTGCTGGGAGGTGATTGATGCCCAGGCCGAGTTAGCTCTCAAATCTGAGGGTTTCTGCGACATTGACTTCCAGACACTAGAAAGTATCCTCCGCAGGGAAACTCTGAATGCCAAAGAAATTGTAGTTTTTGAGGCGGCCCTCAATTGGGCTGAGGTAGAATGCCAGCGACAAGATCTGGCCCTGAGCATTGAAAACAAACGCAAGGTGCTGGGAAAGGCCCTTTACTTGATTCGCATCCCCACCATGGCGCTGGATGATTTTGCAAATGGTGCTGCGCAGTCTGGAGTATTAACTCTTAACGAGACCAATGACATCTTCCTCTGGTATACTGCATCTAAAAAACCCGAGCTGCAGTTTGTGAGTAAAGCCCGCAAGGGCCTCGTCCCCCAGCGCTGTCACCGTTTCCAGTCATGTGCCTATCGGAGCAACCAGTGGCGCTATCGGGGTCGCTGTGACAGTATCCAGTTTGCAGTGGATAAGAGGGTGTTCATCGCTGGCTTTGGGCTGTACGGTTCCAGCTGTGGCTCTGCCGAGTACAGCGCCAAGATTGAACTCAAGCGGCAGGGCGTGGTCTTGGGCCAGAACTTGAGCAAGTACTTCTCAGATGGGTCCAGCAATACCTTCCCTGTGTGGTTTGAATACCCGGTGCAGATCGAGCCAGACACCTTCTACACAGCCAGTGTGGTGCTGGATGGTAATGAACTCAGCTACTTTGGACAAGAAGGCATGACGGAAGTGCAGTGTGGCAAAGTGACTGTTCAGTTTCAGTGCTCCTCAGACAGCACCAATGGCACTGGGGTACAGGGTGGGCAGATCCCTGAACTTATATTCTATGCTTGAACCGTCCCTTCCTTTAGCAGCTGTGAGGTGTCCATCTAGGCCCTCCTTGCCTGATGCTTAGCCCATCTGCAGATACGTGATCAATGCAGGTAATTTGTAATGAATGAAGCAGTAGGCAGGTTCTAATTTCTTTGAAACTTTTAATTATGTACAGGCTAAAATGCAGCATTCCGCTTTTAACTATATGCTTAGGAGAGCCAAGTTCTTACTCAGGCTATGTGGTTTAAAGTTGCGTCTGTATGCCTAGGGAGATTACGTGCTTTTCAGGTGCCCCCCCAACCTCCCACTTTTGTACCTCTGAAGAAAACTTTGCATCACCTTGAATTTCCTTTGATGAATGGAAATATGTTGTCTAAAGTAATAACATCAACTCCTTTTTAAACAGAACTCCTTCCTCTCAAAAACAACAGCAAAATAGGTAAACCTCAGTGTACAGTTTTGGAAGAATGTTTGCTTTGTAACAAGGTATTTAGAATGTAAGCAGTGGACCAGTAGCCACGTTGGCTCTCTGTTTCTCATATTTGTTGTTTCCGAGCTTTGCTTTTTTATTTTTTGTTTCCCTAAATCATACACTTGTTACATACTAAGCAGTTCACTCTGTTAGTGTAAAATAAGAAAGTAAAGAATTTGGTGTTTGTTTAGGCCAGGACTTTTGCTACAAAGCGGATTTGTGTTCTTTTAGTGTAGAGGACAAGATATAATGCAGCACTTCTTTTAGAAGCAATGAAATTACATTTTACTGTCAACAGAAAAAAAAATTCAATGACAAATAAGAATGCGGAGTTTGGAAAAGCCATCCTTTTTTGCCAGGTAGCTTTGCAATCCCCCATTTTTGGCTTGTTTCTAAGTTATACTGCACAGGATTCCCGTTCCCTCTCTCCCCATTAAAAGAGGACCAAACAGTTCTTTAGAGCAATGGAGTTAGTTTTGTAGCACTACATATCAATGTGGTAAAGTAGTTTTTTAATTCATTTTTTAAAAATTGAAACATTCTTTATCTGATCTTTGACCATAGTTGATCTTATTTGTTGATTATGAATGAGTCTGCTGTTTCTGGACTGCTAGAACCTGGCCTCTGGCCATCTTAAAGTGCCAATATATGCCTGCAGGGTTTGTGAGAAGTGGTTCGGAGTGACACTGGGTTCTACCTAGTATTCACCACATCAGCATCACATGCAGCTCTTATTTGGCCATGGTAATGTAAACAAAGAGGGAAAAGCTCACAGTTGTCTCCTTCCATGATAGCTTATGTTGGTTTAGTGCCTGTGACCCTGGCAGTGTCCAGTGTGGTCACTTACAGCTGAAATATCCATGTGTTTCTGGGCAACTTTTCTGCTCAGTGTGATCCTGAGATGGCTCCCCCACCACCCAGAGTGTGGTCCCTGGCCGCCTCCTTCTCCTGCTCTGTAAGCCTGAAGCTGGCTTGTCTGGAGCAGGGGCTAGTCCTGGGGTGTGTGTGCCTGCGCAACATGCGCGTGCAAGTGTGCTTGCCTACTCAGGAACTGCCTCCTCCCTGCCTGGCTAGTGGTGAGTGGGACAGGAATGGTATCCCTGCTGGTGCCAGCAAGGCCCAATGAGTGACTGCTCCTACCCACTGTGCTTCTGGGCCACCTCTTTCCCTGCAGATACGGGCTTGCGGCCTTCGGCCAGTTTCCCTGGTAGAGGAGAACACTGGATTATGGGAACTGTTTTAATCATTTTGCCATTACCTGCATCTGTCAATGACATGACCGAAAGCTGTTGTTACTGGTGACCAGATGAGTACTCCCAGGACAGCTTTTCAAAATTATCTAACAATTATTTTCCTAATAGGGAGATGACAGGTGGTAGTTTTGGCAAAGCATCAATGAAGTAAATGTACATTGTAGGTTAAAAATACTTCTACAAAGGTCTTGTTTTTAAATTACAGTTAAATATTTCAGTAGCTCATACCTACCATGTAGATTGGTAGGCCTGACTGGAAGGCACTTGCTTTTAAACTGAAGGAGAGAAAACTTTGTTTAGCACTGACTGCTTCCTGCCAGATAGTTGAGCTGGGTGTAAATGCCCTAGAGGGGCAGCATCTGGCCCTTGCTGGCTCTCAGTGGTCCTACAACCGAGCTGCCCCTCACTCAGTTAGACAGCTGCTAGGCAAAAGCCATGCAAGCCTGATCACTGGGTGATTGACCTGTGCTTCAAAACTGTGGGTTAGAATTGGGACAGCTGTACCTAAAATAAGATTTTTTTTTTATATTCTGGACCCTGTTCTCCTTTCTACATTTTTAGCAAAATGAAAGCTAATGTGCTTGCTCTAGTTTTCTTTGGTAATTTTGAATTTCCCTAGATTTCGAAACTAGAAAACATTGTTCCTACAAGGGAGGCAGCTCTAATGTATAAACACAACTTTGTTAAGCAGAATGCACTGTAGATGCTTTTCCCAATGCACCTGGCGGTCTTTGTCATTGTTCATACTGGGGATAAGGGTAACTAGGCTAGCAGTTCTAATATAACATTCTTTAATCACATCTTAAAATAGTATTTAAGTAAATTGTCTAATTTCTACATAATTATTGCACTGAACTGTCTTTTTTATTTTAAAGGTGTTTAAATAAGCTTAGCTAATTCAAGACACTGTAGCCACTTATGCACCAGTGTACTTGACTTCAGCAGCTTACAGCATTATTTATGAAGGAAACTATATAAATATGAAGTACCTCATGTTGGATGTTATTGTACTGTATTTTTATGTAACAGTGCAGACCTTGTTAGACACATGAATGTGTATAATCATGTTAAATGCAAATAAAATAAAACTGGTTCATAGATTTCTTTCTTAGCATTTTTGTCGCTCCTTTGAAACAGTAAAAAATTCCTTCTGGCACTTTTGGTGTCACTGAGCTGTAGAAAGATGGTTTCAGAGAAACGTTTGTTTGTGAAGTACTCAGTTATCCTTGATTCCTAAAGAAGGAAGAATTTGAGTCAAAAGCATGGGAGAACAATGAATATGTTAATCAGCTGCATTGTTCAAAGCCTGACTGTTGAGTTAATGAGCAGGGGTGAATGGATGCATTTATATTCCTGTTATGGAATTATGGTTGGCTGGCGTTCCCTACCTGTATTTGCTCAAATGCCTGGATCTCCCTGTATGAAGGAGGTGTGCTGGACAGCTGCTGCTTCCCATGGTGCAATAGTGCCGTAGATCTAGGTATGAGACAGACTACCACGTGAGAATTTTGAGTATACTCACTCAGTTTCCATTCTTTTCACTCGCTTCTTGGCCTTTTGGGTAATAATCAAGTGTGTTTCCATGTCACTTAGGCGCACAACACACCGTGCACTCGTTCATAGTTAGGCATACATAGGTACCTTTATCTCCGCAACACTGATGCTTTTTGACTAGAACCTATTGTAAAACTCTATATATTTGTTTAGCCACTTCATCTCTGCAGGTTCAGTTTTTACTGTATACCTGCTCAAAAGATATTTGGGATTACTCCAAAGAATGAGAGAGCTGGAACCCCCACCTTCTTCAGCTTAATCACAGTTTCTACCTTAATTGCAAAGATCTGTAATCCACAAAGGTCTCAGCCATTAGCTCTTCTCTGCTGCTCTTTAAAGTTAATCCACATATTTGTTTTCATTATCCTAAGACAGTTGGGAACAACCCTCCTGTATTGTAGGGTCTCAAGATTAACATGTCACTGAAATTACACCTTCCCAGTTGACCGGCTTGCCTGGGAAGACTATAGACCTAAATTTAGGAGAAAACAAGAAGGTGGAAACTAAAGGGCATGGAAAGCAGGGGCCCAGAGCAACAAGTGACCTGAACAGTCTTTGTGTTAGAGCCTGTGAACAGCTTCAGTGGAAAACAAAACACTGGATTTTTTTTTAATCTATTATTTTTATTTTATGAACATGAGAGTGTTGTCTGCATGTATGTAAGTGCATCTGTGTCGTGCAGTGCCCACGGAAGTCAGAAGAGGGCATCAAATTCCCCTGAAACTGGAGTTATGGACCACTGTTAGCTACTATGTGGGTGCTGGGAACAGAACCCCAGTCCTCTGCAAGAGCAGTCAGTGCTCTTAACCACTGAGCCATCTCTGCAGCCTCTGGATTTCTAATGAATACATTTCAGTGTTTTCTTTCAGTGCCATTTCCACATATTTGAGTACATAGTCAAAGAACAAAGTTAATGCAGAATTTTTTCAAAAATAGTTTATGCATTTACTTCCATGACAAACTTTGGCTGTGATAAAATGTTTCCCAGCCAGTTTGCTAGCATTGCTTATTACAGATCAGATGAAGGTGTTTGGGAAGAACAGATGAAGACTGCCAGCTGACCATGTCACAGTGCTGAGCAGTCTGAAGTGCTGGCAATGACAGGCTTCTGAGGGATAGCTGGCTGCATTTTCCTTACATGAACCCCTCCCCTCTGTCGCCTCATCTAAGCCTCTCTAGGGCAGAGATAATTTCCACACATGCAGACTCTATCCTTGTACATTGTTTATTTGCACAGCTACTTAAATGTCCAGTGGAAAGCATTTTTACTACCAGATACTGTTTTATGCTCTTGATGTCAAAAATTCCCTAACCTCAAGATAGACAGTTAATAACTGCATGGCTGTCTAGTCTGTCTGTGGGGCATCATTACAATTACTGTACTTAACTCTCTTTAAGCTGCTAGTAGTCAGTAGAGTGGGTATATGTTAAACATTACTGTAAGGATACAGACTTTTTATTTTTATTACTTTGTTGGGCCATTTTATATTTAATAGACTTTTTTATGCCCATTGTTTATTAGAAGAGTGGGAGTATGCCAGAGAAAAATAAAAAATAAGTTATATAAAACTTGTTGGTTTTAACATGAAATGCCATAAATCTCTGAGTATCATATAGCATGAAGACTTCTGTGAGAAACTAGAAAAATCTAAGGTAATATTTTGATGTGTGATAGTCTTCACTGGGGCTATGTAATTTGCACTTCCCTTCCTGAAGTACTGTGCTCACAGAACAGTCAAAAGAATGAAATGGGGGCTGGAGAGATGGCTCAGTGGTTAAGAACACTGGTTGTTCTTGCAGAAGACCCGGGTTCAAATCCCAGCACCCACATGGCAGCTAACACCTGTCCGTAACTCCAGTCCGAGGGGATCCGACAGCCTCTTTTGACCTCCGCGAGCATTGCTCAACATGGGTATACTTACCTACATGCAGGCAATACGTGCATACACATAAAATTAAAAAAATATATTAAAAGAATGATAATGACTATTTAAGGGCACTTGAATAATATTTCAGTGCTTGGAGCAGAGGGTACCACCTTCCGCTATGCTATAGAATACATGAAAATGTACTTTTGAAGCCTTCTGCACATTTTAAGGAATTCTCGTTTTAGTGCTTAAACAGCTACAAACTTTAAATTAATTTCAGCTTTTCTTATTACACTGTTTAAACTGTATGGAGCCTTAACCAATTCAAAATTAAAAGTTGCCATAGATCTCTCTGAAAGAAAAATTCCATTTCTAGGAATATTTGGAGGCATTAATGGACTGAGGAGCAGAATGTTTCTGGCTCCCAACAAGAGACAGAAGGTTTAATGAGTCATTCAAGGTATTAACCCACCACTCACTCATCTATTGATTGTGTATTGATCTTTGCTTCCTCCCACCCAGTCAGAAGTGCTGGGAGTCAGGCCAGGAAGATGTATGTTGTATAATCGTGGGAACTTGTGGTCCAGTGCAAGGCTGCTCTAATAGAATCATAGGTGGCTGAGCCCACCCCCTAGAAGTTCTGGTGTAGGTCTTCAGTGGAGCCTGAGAGACTACTAGCCAGCGGACTTCTTTATGACTCTGGTACTGCTGTCTGCAAATGACATCAAGTATCTCTGACCAAAGAAGCATAAAGAAAGAGGTGAGTATTTGCTAGTGCAAACCAGCAGAGTTCAGGGGCAGAAGAGGAAGGCTGGGCTTCTAGGGGATTATTAGCTGCTTGCAGATCAGCTTCAGGATGGAAGAAGAAAGGAAATGTGAGCTGAGCTTTGAAGGACACCTTAATATTATCCAGTGGGGAGTCTGGAGGAAATATTTGAAGAGAGATACTGCTTGACAACCCAATGTGGCTGCAGTGAAAGGTCCATGTAGAAGAATGAGGCCACCAGGATCATGTAGTGTCTGGTTTGAATAGGAACAGGAATCAAGCAGTCCGTGTGTTAGGCTCAGTTATCCAGCTTTTAGCCACAAAATAAGGCAGTGACCCTGAAGAGATTTCAGAAAAGATAAAGTTATATTTTAGGAACTGATCTCTGGGAAGGATAGACTGCATCAGGCTGGAGGCCAGGGGAGCATAGGAGTGGAAGAATAGTGAAAACCAATGCTAAAGCAGGCAGGGGATGGCAAGAAGGATGAAGATTCTAGAAGTGTAAAGAGGTGATCCCTAGGGTGTGGAAGGACTTTTGAAATATCCAATTATAAAGTGACTGCAAAAAATGGGGCGAAACCTCGCCTTCTATCTATTCTTGGGCAGTAGGAAGAACACTTTTGTCTGAATTAAGTAGCTGAATTGTAGATGCCCTTCCAGACTCTCACATTCTTTTAAGAAGGTAAAATAAGATGTGGACATGGTATAGAGGTTAATGGCTCAGCCTGGAGCTGGACTGCTATCTAGATTTAAAACTTGACTTGGGCTGCATATGACCTGGAGCAAGCTACTCAGCCTCTGAGCCACTCATCCCTCCAGGAAGATGGTGATAATGCCTTCCCTATAGGGTTAGTTTATGAGAAGTAATATTCCATAGCATTTGTGGCAATGCTTGGTGGACAGCACCAAGTAAATAAGTAAAACAAATTATGAAAGAGCACAGACTAAACCCATCAACTTTCTTCGTGTAGTCACACATACTTTTGATTTACATATACTTAGCAAGTTGTCAATGTGCACACTTGAAGAAAACTTTCTCCCTCCTCTTTTAAATTCTCATGCTCAGTGGCTACCCAGTACATCAAGCTACAAAGGGCTATATTGTTGAGGAATTCCCATGCTTTAACTGGGAGCCTAATAACTTTAATTTTGTTGTGTTAATGAAATACAGATGTGATTTCTTGTGCTGTAGCTGGTCCTTGCACATCAGATGCCTCCTCTGCTAGGATTCTGCAGGTGACTGGAAAAGCTGGAGGAGCATGCAATAAAGAATCCTTGAGACATTTTCCAACAGGAATCTATTCTACAAATTTGAAAAATCCCTTTTACTAATTTCAGTGTTAAAAGAGCCTCTTACTGTGGCCTGCAGTCTTGGTGATGTAGGATCTAACTCCTCCTGCAAATATTTTGTAATTAAAACCACTTCAGCACTGAAATTATTTGGTGTTGGCAGCAGGTTTGACGTGAGTGATGCGAATGTTACATGCAGTGTTTGAATGGAGAGTTGCATTTATTCATGTAAACACAGGTACCCCAGAAGCAGTAGTGCTTTCATCCTGCTGCCCCACAGTTGTTGGCACTCAGCCCTTTCTTCCCTGAGAGGGCCCCATAACTCTGTGACCCACATAGCTCCCTTGGAAAGGGAGGGAGGGAGGAAGGGACATGGGGCGGGGGTCGGGGCAGGAGGAGAGATGAGAGAGACAGACAGAATGATCAGATGACATGCCACACAGTTTCTATGGAGATGAGTGGCCTTTGGAGGAATGAGAAGAATGGACACCCTTTGAGGACAGGAAGGGCTATGGCTGTGGCTGTGGTGCAGAGACCTGCAGTCAGGGTAAGGGGACAGGTCTCTATTCCCTGCTCTTCTACCCAAAACCTGTACAGAGCTTTTGTGGGTTTTCTAAACATT